GCCTATATGAATACAGTGGGCTTTATCAGGCTGTTAGCTTTTGTTACCCCCTGTTTTACAAACCTTTTTCTGCTTTACTTTGGAAGGCGAGCTGCATAACGTGCTTGTTCCGTTAATGTTACGTGGCCCAGCAGTTTGATCTCTCAAATTTGTATGTAAAAAACCGTCCAGTCTTGTTTGTTACGGTTCGTCGATGTGTATTTAAGGAAGATAAAAAATTAATAAAGCAGTTGTATGTGATGTGATTATCGTCTACTCGGCCTTGCACCAGCGGTCGTGCCTCTTCTCTCGTGTCCCCATCCTGCAACTCGCCTGTTCGCTTCTTTTGGCAAGTTCTTAATGTCGCTCGTTTTAAATTTTGCCCTTTCAGAAGAGAAAATCGTTCTACTGCTCTTCCTGCTAAACGCTCTTAAACGGTGGATCTCCAGATTTGTACAAGACTGGAACACAAGGTAGGCATTTTGTATTTTAATGCAGGCTAATCTGGGAGAATAAACATTCTGAGGAAAGAGGGTCGTTCTGGGGTACATTTTTTCATTGCCAGTGTCACGCCCGCCAGCAAATGTTAGAAAATATCAATGATCACTCTTCAGTTCCTAGAAAAAATGACAAATATAAGAAACTGAATCAGGCTGCAATCGCCAGTAAACCAGAACTTCGTCCGCCCCATTTCACATAGTTATATGGCAGCACCCTTTATTTCTGTTATTGGATAGTATGAAAAACGACGGCCATTCGTACTAAGTGGTAAGTTTTCATTTTAACTTCTCTTGCCATTTTTCATCGGATGTAAAAACGGTCTCCTAGGTAGGCAGTTTTGGTTTAGGGGGCACTTTATGCAAAATGCCCCAGAACTTTGATGATTACCTTTACTGGAAAAAATATGCGTCATACTGTCCATATGAAAGGGACGTGAGTAAGGGTGATTTATTTGGCTGCATAAACAATATACGAAGATAGGAACGCCCGCCCGAGTAATGCAGGTTGCTCTGTGCCTAATTTCAGATAGAGTTTATATTCTCGCATCTCCGTACTAACACACACCCTAAAATAATCCTTGTCGTAGCCCATATCGAGACCCCGGAAAAATAATACTAACCTTAATCCCAAAATTGACGTTTATCCTAAACCTAACCCTAAACTTAACCCTAAGCCAACCTCAATTTCACTGCCTCTGAGTCCCATGCTAATTGTGTTATTGACATTCCCCTTTCTCGTGTTCTGTTGGGGAGGCCTTATAGATAATCGGTGTCAAGACATGTAGCCACAAGGTGAACTTACCCCGTACCAATGCTGCGTACCGATGCTGCAACAAAATATTTGCTGCTCCCAGATTCTCTTGCGGTGGCAGGAGTAGTCCATTTAAGTGCAGCTAAACAGCGCATGGCTAATAGGCAGGTATCTAAGGCGGTCCCAGCACCGCCTTGAAAGGAATGGCCTTACTTTACCGAGAGTCGCAGTCGATACTAAATGAGTCTGTAGTCAGTCATCAGCCATACGCCAGCTTACTGTCATATGAAATAGTGTACTCGATTCTAGACCTGAGACGACTTTCATTAAGACCTTCATACACACACGGTTAAAAAAACGAATACGTTCACCTGCCGTATCGGTTGCTTGTTTCAGCCTGTCCTGTGCATATTTCATTACGTTCGTTGCTGAATAGCATCATTCCTACCTTTTTTTGTTTTCCTCAGGCTCGCTGACTATAACTCAATGGTAAAGAACCTGGAAAAGAGTGTACGAGAAGGCAAGAAACGTTCGATCGCTTTGCCGGCCGGCCTATCCTCAACTTCCATCGCCTTTTCTCTCCCCGCAAGCAGTAATCCGACAAAGAAGCATCAGCGTCCGTCGGGGGTGGAGGGCGAGACGCCGCAGACCGCACCCAGTTCCAGTGCAATACAGGCTTCGAATACAGGTGGTTCTTCCCATACTTCCTGCTTCTTGCCATTTTCGCCCCTCTTTGCCCGCCCCC